TTTGACATTGGGTGCCGACGATGAGTGTGATCCCTTCGAGGAATTCAATTTGCCGAATGTGTATTCACCAGATATGAGGTCTAGTACCTATTCTGTGCCATCACTGACGCCATTCGAGTGTTATAACGACGAGTGAGGCTACAATCAAGCCTTCTACTGGAGAACAACTGAAATCGGCTTTGATATACTTACTAATTAACTATCCACAGGAATACTTTTATTTTTCTGCGCGAAATTATTTGACGACCAGGTATTTCTTGCAAGTTCAATATACATATTTATATACTTCAATATTTATTAAATAAATAATTAGGATATTTTAATGGAAATTAAGGAATTAAATATTGCAATAAAAATAATATTAAAGCTGATATTGTAAGAGAATATTTTGGTCCAGAATTTTAAAAAATATTTGTTTATATTAACTTCTTAAAATATTAAATTTATTTGCCTTTCAAAAAATCCATAAAATTCTTGTTCTTAGACTAGAATACTCCCTATTATATTTTATACTTTTAACTCAATTTCAATCATGCTTTAAATAAATTTCCATACAATTTATTTTTAGACTAGAAACAAATTCTGATAATTCACAGCTTGAATATAGTGATGTAAACAGAACAACTTTTATCTCAAAGCCGTGACTTTGGGATATAATATATTTTAAATATATTTGTGATAGAACCTTTAATTAACTAATTATTTTTCAGATACTACGTTATTCCCTGTTCCGATGTTCGCATAAGGGATATAGCTGTAAAATTAACAGGGCCTGTCGATTGCACAGTGCTTCTAGGTCATTTAGCCATAATACCATATGAATAGTTATTATTCATATACAATTCAATTAAAATTCGAAATATTAATAAAAGATAGTGCAAACAATTGATGTGTATTATTTATTTTTACATAGATTTATTTATACATACATATTACACACACACACATATATATATATATATATATCTATTTTTTAAAAATATGCCAAAATGTTTAGAAACCTGGGTTTGGAAACGGCCATCGACTGCACGCCGTTCTCCACCGGCATGTTTAGTTACAAACTTATGTATGTAAATGTATCACGCAGAAAGCACGCCGGCTCACAAGCTATTCATAACCGATTTACTGGGTACTTTTTATTACTTCATTAACAAAATTAATGAATTGAGTGGGGCCAGTAAAAATACCCTTCTCGAGGTCTGGCGCTCATCAGCTGGACGAGCATTTTTAACTACCAGTAGGGTAAGTTATAGTAATGGTCCAAAAATCGAAAATATTTTTTTTGCATATCTTTACGTTTTATAGGTTTCTGAACATTCTGGCATACCTTAGAAAAAATAGATGTATGTATGTGTGGATACAATTTTTTGTCCACGTTTTTGAGAGTACGAATCAAACAATTTGATCCGGCAAATTGCTGGAACTTTCCGTAGCAAAATAAAATATTCGAGCAATATTAAATGTTTTCAAATAGATTATTATAAATACTGTAACCTAAGTTACAGCTTACAGCTTCAAAGCTTTAAAACGTAAAGATATATATATATATATATATATATATATATATATATATATATATATACAAAATCTTCTAATAACTCTGTATTTTTGATTCAGATTTCAACACGTTTGAACAAACAATTACTCTAGCAACACTCAACATCAATATTTTTTTACTACTGCACATATCTTACGGACTGGGTACTCTGGTCTGGCACAGGTCCTTCTATCCAACTGGCTCCGCACCATCAGTCTAAATTTTTCGTATTGCACTGTCAGCAGTTCTGATCCAGAAACTATTTTGATTACATAACAATGGATGCATTTTGTTATCACCTGGTAACAATTCACAGGTTTGTCGCAATTTTCACACCATATAACTGGTCCTAAAGAGGAATCAAATCATTCTGTGTTTGGAGCGCGTGATGACGACATTGCAGTGGTAAGTGTTTGAAGAATTTAATATTATGCAATAAATTCATATATTTAGTTTTGAATACGTGGCATATTTCTGTTTTGATTGATTTGATTTGACTTGATTTTCTATTGTTCCATTTATTACCCGTTATCAATAATTAATCATTTTAATTTTTATCAATAAAATACTATAAATGCTACGTAGTATTATCTATATAAAACACTAAATGTATTAAACTTTTGCCAACTTTCGATGAAGCTTGATAACACACTTAGGTACACAACTTTTTAAAGCAGGACCCCTCAAAATCGACCGATTTTTTAAGTTATAAAATCATAGTTCAACAAAAAGTTAAATTCTTAAAAACTGGACGCAATTGTGTTATTATTTTTGATGGTGGTCCTAGAAATGTTATTCACGGTTAAGGTTTCAAAGTTAAAATGAACAAAATTAATAAAATTTAACCACAATAACCGAAAAAGGGTCATAAATTCACCAAAACACTAATTTGCACTTAAAAGCTCATACTTTCCAATTAAAGTAAGATATATTTTATACCCTTAACCCGTTATATATATATATATATATATATATATTTGAATACGAGTTATTTCAATCAAGAAAAGATTGGAACAAATGTCAATAAAAGAAGATATATTTTTAGTTCGATTTATTTATCGCATTTTAAATATATTTATGTACAAGATTTTATGCTAATAAATGCACTGTAGCGTATTTATAATATTTTCAATATCGTTAAACAGCTTGTGAGTGATTTTATATTTTCCAATTTGTTTTTTTATTATGATAGTATAATATTACTAATCTATAAGTCGTCATGTACATTTCATAAATATAACTATACATAAAATTATTATCCTAGAAGTTTAGCGGTTCCATTATCGAGTCCGTTCGTCATCAATTAAATATCATATTGTTAGTTGTTTGGACGTGATTAGGTAATATGGCTTGATTCTTATTATAAATGCAATATAAATAATTCTCGGATGAATTTGTATATCACAAAAGTCCACAGAGTGTCTTTGACAATTTATACATCATTACAGTTTCCAATTCTATTGTTGCAGCTAAAATTTTTTCCGTCCATTGTAAAAACTGTTTAATATCCGCTCCCCAGAGGACTTCCATTGGCTGGTCTTCCGCTTCCGTATCCCTCAGCACCGCCAGCACCTCCAGCACCATTACCATTTCCTAATTAATAAAAATTATTTATTTTATTACTTAAATTTGTTGTACCCAATTAATCCTTTTTTATTATTTTAAAGTATAAAAGTGTACTCAAAATATTATCACAAATTTTATTCACAGCTATATTGCTAATGAATAAACTTAATCGAAACCGATATCTTTTTCTACTGTAAATTTTCCAATTTGAAACCAATTATATATTTAATAAATTCATACTAACCTCCTGGATACCCTCCATTTCCATTGCTACCACCTGGATAACCTCCAGCGCCTCCATTTGATCCACCTGTTTTTATAAATTATTAGTGATCTGATTATAATTATTAATGAATTAAATTGAAATTTAATAATTACTAAATTACTCTTGAATCTTAACGATTTTACTGAGATATTATTAATTTGAAACTGATTACATCATTTCTATTAATTTATACTAACTGCCTGGGTATCCTCCATTTCCATTACTGCCACCTGGGTAACCTCCAGCACCACCGCCATTTGATCCTCCTGGTTTTCAACATAACAAATGAATATAAAATATTTTTATACAAAATAAATTAATAATTGTTTATATACTTATACGTCAATAAATCGTACTAACCGTTTGAATATCCTCCATTTCCATTGCTGCCACCAGGGTAACCTCCAGCACCGCCATTTGATCCGCCAGGGTAACCTCCAGCACCGCCATTTGATCCACCTGGATAACCTCCAGCACCGCCATTTGATCCACCTGGATAACCTCCAGCACCGCCATTTGATCCACCTGGATAACCTCCAACACCGCTTCCTGAACCACCTGTTGAAAATATATTTTATGACCATATGATCAAAAGATCAAAGAGGTTTGTAGGCAACTATGTCTAATTCATGCTTTACTTTCTGTTATGATATATTTTAGAAATATATTAATGAAGAAAAAAATATATTAGACTGATCACACTGATTATATATATCTATATGAAACAGATATGAGAGATTTGTCAAGTTTGTTCCCGACTTTATTTTTTCAGAAACTTGTTTGAAATTATTTTTCTTTCCAGAAAATCAAGGAAAGGCAATTCATGTAAATATATTAATAAGTGGCAAAAGGAAATAAATCTAAAACAATGCAAATGTGCCATATATACCGGGATATCCTCCAGCACCTCCAACACTTCCACCCGGATAACCACCTGCGCCTCCAGCACCTGATGAAGCAAGTATTGAAACGTTAGTAAATAGATAATACCTTGCAGCTATAATCAAATATTATTAGATTATAAATAATAATTTGTAACTAATGTAATGGATCATGTAATTTGTAATGGATTTTGTTACTAAATAACAAAATTAAGTTAATACTCATTTGAGAATGATCCGCATAGTCACTGTAATCTACATTGTTATCCTTGATTATTACTTTATCGTAACTAAACTAGTACCGTTTATTTTAACAGTAGAGCTTCACACTTTAAACATAATGTTTTGTTTTCAAACTTTTATAAATTTGAACTAAATTGCATTAATAATAATCTTGCCTCCAGCGCCTCCTGGATAGCCACCTGCGCCGCCAGCACCGCCAGGGCCTCCAGATGCGTAACCGCCTGCACCACCAGCACCTCCTGCACCGTTGCCAAATCCTTCATCTGCATTTAATACGTTTCCGGTGAGCAATAAATAAAAAGGTAATAACAAATATTTCATACCGAAATATACCAAATAGCTTTAATTAGAGCAGTAATAGAACATTTTCCTATTCCGTTATATAAATTATTTCGAATTTTCAAAGATCATGCACAAATAATTCAAAACAGTAAATAATTTTGGTTAAAGAATATTATTTAGTAATGTATGAGAATTAGTATTGTTATGGAAATTATAATGTATGTTCATAAATTTGGAAATTAATTGTTAATAGTTTCAACTAATTTGCGTTAAGCGTCGTTAGAAAGCATACGTACCAATTGTAATGGCATTAGTAGTACCTGGATAAAAAATTAGCATATTGTTGTAAATATATAAATTGTTAGCCATAAGGGGATATAATAAATAAGAACTTCTTATTAATATATGATTGTGTAGATATACACATACACACACAAACACACACACACACACACATATATATATATATATATATATATATATATTTATATATATAGGTATATAATTTCATGGTTCAAACCCTAATACGTTTACCTCAAACAATTTAAAACTATTATTATTTGTATTGTTAAGTCAAATAATACAAATAAAATGTAACTACAAAATCTCACCACTAGAATATTGTTACAATTTTTACTTTACCTATTTAGTTCCCGTTAGTAGATGATTAGACGCCATCCTTTTCCGGCACCTACCCGCGACCTACTACCGCCCTAGCCGCGCTTTGAGCAAGAGCCACGTAGAAATGATTTTATGCTATCAGTTTAATTAGTTGACAATTACACTTATTTAATTAAAATATGTACTAAAGATTTATTTTGTATTTTGGGATATAACTGAATAGTTTATTCCCTAATTAAAATAAAATTTAAATTGTACTCCTGGCTTTGTAAAATTAACATTTCTTATTTCGCCAAGGCTTCATAAAAATCACAATCAAATAGTATATTTTTGCCGAAATGAAGTAACAAATTACTTATACGAATCTCATATGCTGCCTCAATATTTTTAATTTCAGTAGTCAAACGAAATAATTTTTTTCCTTCAAATGTAATAAAACCAAATTGCGACATCTACTTGAGTTTAAGTGAAAAATATTACGTAACTATGTTTCATACAATGGTATGATTTCAGTTTCTATAGTGGCTCTCGGATGAAGCAGCAGCATTGTTTTCCTTACTTTTTTTTTTTTTTTGAAAATTTGAACCGCGTTTCGTACCTTCGTAACGAATCTGTGGTCTGAAACCGTCAGCGTCAGCCTCATATTCTACAACCTGACGCCTTCCGTCTGGTAGCAACACGTTGAACTGACCTGTTGCTAAATCTCCATCTCGTGATTCTGAGTGCCCAAAACTGTTTCCACTTTCGGGATCCTGCACGTCATAACTGAATTCATACTTGGCCGGCTCCTGAGAATTAATCTTATTTAAATACAAGTTAATTTATGTACAATAGGACAGCTATGGCGATGCAGTTTTTACTGGCACGTATTATAGCGATGAGGGTCATTAGATTCCACAGAATAGTTGATTACTTTCAACAGATGACTTATCTCAATTACACTGTTACATTTTTTATTACCTCGATTATTCAATTTTAAATTATTTATTTAATCATGTTATTCAATAATATAGATATATAAATATGCATACACACACCTATATATATATACGTGTATATATATATATATATATATATATATATATATTATTTTATGCGCGATTTGCTAGGACTACAATTTTTTGAAATTGAAAAAATATTTAAAAATCTGATTAAAGCAAACTAATTAAAATTGTTAAAAATAAAAAAAAAAATTCTTTTTTTAAATATAGCACTGTGACCCGAACAAAACAAAACAATAGTTGCTTTTGATCTGTGTTTGTTGGTTATATGGAGTTCAATACATTTATCCAGTTAAATAAACTCGATCAAATTAATGCAAATATATTGTAATACGATATTTATGTCATTTCTGTTCACATATGTGTGTGATACACATATATGTGTGTGACTTTAGTAAATTGGCTTTAGTACTTAAATAATGTGAATAAGATTTAGAAATGATGAGATTACGTCCTTGTTAACAGTGAAAGCATTGATTAAGTAATTAACGATCCATAAAATGTACATAAAATCGGAACGCAGTGTTGCACTCTCAAATCATTGGCGCAAAATTTCATGAATTTTACGATTAAAGATGTTGTAACCAAAAGTTAACTAATTTGATTAGAAAGTAATAGATTATGATAGTACACGTTTGACAAAACTTACACTGCTTCCGTCGTCTCCTCCAAAGCCGCTGCCGCCAAAGCCATTAGATCCAAAGCTTCCAGCGCCTCCTGCTTGACCGAGTCCGCCCGCAAAACCAGCAGCGCCCCCAGCACCGCCTGCACCAGGTGCTCCGTATGTGGAGCTTAATCCACCACCATTTCCAAACCCATTACCTGCTCCAGGTGCGCCATATGTTGAGCTCAGCCCACCTCCATTACCACCGAAGCCTCCATTTCCGGATCCAGGAGCGCCATACGTAGAGCTAAGTCCGTTACCTCCAAAGCCACCGTTGCCTGATCCTGGTGCACCATATGTAGAACTGAGACCACCGCCGTTACCGCCGAAGCCACCATTGCCTGCTCCTGGTGCTCCATATGTTGAACTTAAGCCGCCACCATTACCATTCTGGCCTGGAGCTCCGTAAGAAGAGCTAGGCTGTCCAAGAGCACCGCCGTTTCCATTTCCGTTAGCCCCTGGAGCTCCATAGGATGAACTAGGTCTACCGCCATTTCCCCCAAAACCATTTCCAGAACCAGGAGCTCCGTATGACGAGCTCGGTCGGCCACCATTTCCATTAGATCCTAAATATATTCATATTTCAACTTTTGCTCTCTTAACATTATCTAATAACTGCAATAACATACCTGGCGCACCATAAGAGGAGCTTGGTCGACCTCCGTTGCCATTACCGTTACCGTTGCCATTGCCCGGTGCACCATATCTTGAACTGGGTCGGCCGCCTCGGCCCCCGTTAGCACCATTACCGTTCCCAGGTGCTCCGTAAGATGAGCTTGGTCTTCCCCCAAATCCATTGCCTGATCCTCCAGCACCGGGTGCACCGTAAGAAGATGATGGACGGCCGCCTCCATTTCCTCCGTTGCCAGCACCAGGAGCACCATATGAAGAACTTGGGGCACCGCCATTGCCGTTTCCACCAAAACCACCACCGTTTGGAGCACCGTATGTGGCACTCAGACCATTGCTAGCACCTTCAAATCCGTTTCCATTTGCACCGGGAGCACCATAAGTGGAGCTGAGCCCGCCTCCATTTCCTCCATTTCCATTGGGAGCTCCGTATGTAGATGATAACCCACCATTTCCTCCATTTCCATTAGGAGCTCCGTATGTAGAAGATAAACCACCATTTCCAAAGCCACCGCCGGCACCATTTCCTGGAGCTCCATAAGAGGAACTGGGTGCCGAACCGCCTAAACCATTTTTACCACCTCCTGAACCAGGTGGAAGGTAAGAATTCACAGGTGGTTCCGCAGAGACAGCCGCAAGTGTCGTCAGAAAGACGCTAAACGCCAAGGGCTGAAAAAATAGACGGTTGTGAAATTTCTTGTATAAATATTGTGGATTCAAAACGGCATACAAATGGATTAATTAGCTTTCCGTTTCTTTCTCACCTAATACGCTTACAGTGTGACGAAACAATGCAGATGTAAAAGGAGCCAATTGCATACATTTGTCATACAAGTTTTAATGAATCGTTGAGACCATATAAATTATTTTCACTGGTTTATATATTCTTTCGATTCTTTTTTACGATTCTATTGATTTTCTATGATGAATGATAAGAATTACATTAAACATTTAAATAGTATTATCAAATAATTTGTAAATTTGTATTATTCCTATATTCATTGGTTGATCTAAGAGAAATCTAATACAGTGAAAATATTAATAACACCACAGATAAAAATTCCAATGTTTGTTTTGAATTTTTGTGCTTTAACAATATTCGAATTAAAGTTTTAAAGAAATTGAACAGCGTTTAAAAAAATCTTATTGAAATAATGTAAATTTACAATAATTTATTAAGAATCTTGCTAGCTAATTTGAGCTTTTTAGATCGTTAAATGACGAATATTTGGCAGTTTCATAGAAATATAAAATATTTTTACACTACATACACAATTAATTGAAATTTTGATTTGTAATATAATTATATAATTTCAATTTTGTTTTTTATTAACAATTCGCTTTTAATTTTGATTTTGTTCATTTACATTCATAAACATTTTAGTATTTTAATTATAACCTTATACTTCAACACTGAGTAAAATATTTATTTTAGTCTCAGATTCACGCTAATTCGTGTTCGAAGTTTAACGACTTTTATTATTTTTTTAAGAAGAGAATATTCAATTGTTTATTTGAAATATATATATATATATATATATATATATAAAGAGTTCCAATTATATATATATATATATATATATATATATATATATATATATAAAGAGTTCCAATTTTTATATATACATATAAATTTAACGTTAATTTGATTTAAATATAATATATAATTTATTATATATAAATATCGTTCCATTCTAAATTGAAAATAGGGATAAATTTAATATGTTCTGGAATTTTTTTTCAAAGTTCAAAACGACTGATTGAACAACGCTTAATTCAGCATCAGGATATAGATACGGTACGATGAAATTTGGTACTGTAAAACGTCGCCGTAAGCTATTTATACAATTGGGAATTTTGAAATTTTAATAATCAATGCTATGCACAATCTCAACAATATGCAGTTGTTCCATTCCAATGACTTAGACTATTTAATATAATAATTTTGACTTATATTCTGCGTATTTACAGTTTATTGATTGACACTGATATTTTGTATTCACTTACCGCAATCATATTTCACCAAGATTCGTAAAATTGAAACTTGAATCAAATTGAAATCCAAAGCTAACTTTAACTCTTTATTATAACAAAATAAGTAACAATATTTATATTAACTTTGAAGCTGAGTAAATGCAATAACCGAATAATATGATGCTCCAGAATTCCTGGTCCTGGCTTATATACTGCTTTAGCTTAATAGTGCATCATAGAGGGGTTCCAATATGATGCAATGTGCCCCTCACGTGGCGCATCTTCGAGAGAAGGTACTTAGTTCCCCTCCCACGCAAGAAGTATCTGCCGGTGCACATTACCATAGTCTTAAGACTACCATCATAAGATGATCCACAAAATTACGTAATGTCGGCACTGTGATGAGAGCACTATGAATTATTCAATGTGCTCCTACAGTGCAGTACTACTAGTACTTCATTAGAGCTAAGATTGTGTGCCTTACGAGAATTTGTAATGCAGTTTGTAAAAATAATTTTTTCACTTTTCATTGTTCGCATGCTGGAAGTGATCTAGACAATTGACCCGCTCATTGTTGCATGTCGCGATTATCGTAACAATAACAACTACATTTGCTTGGCAGTAATTGTTTGTAATTCGAACTAGATGTCGGCGAAACTTCTATGTTCCATTGCTCATTTTTATAGATTAAAATAAACTGAATTATATTATATCAATGCATCATATTTATTAAGTCCATTTTATAGCATAGACAAAAACGGTTTTATTAATAATGCATACAAAACAAAGCAAACATAGGTAAATCCATAAGACTTTAAAAGATGATTTGATGATTTTTCTGTATTTTCCTTGTTGTATTTTACTTGTTTTACATAGTGTTTTACTTATAAAATATAACGATTTGAGATTAACAATAGAGAAATTGTTGACTTGGAATCCTTGCTGGTAGAAATTATTTCTACCTCTAGTCTGACATCAGTGCCTTTGACAGGTCAAAAAAGTGCGATGTCACATTGGCAATGATTTTATAGATATGGATGAATTCATTAATCCATGACCACGTTTAATAAATTTACAATAGCTTAATGTGGTTACGCAATATTCTCGTAACATTTTTATTGCGGATTAATAAAAATGTTTCAAAGAGTACAGTTAATGTACGGTAATTTTCACTATTTATGTCTATGCGTATTTCCTGTCAATTTTATCACAAGAATGAATTTCTTATACCTTTTATGTTAAAATAAAATAAAAAACAATTTAAAACGATGTTTTCCAACCTGGAGTCCACTGAGGAACTTATTAACTTCCCGTAGGGTAAGTTGTTGTAATGGGCCGAAAATCGAAATTGAAAATGTTTACATTTTTCGACGTTTTGAAGGTTTCTGAACATTTTGGCATACCTCAGAAAAAATGGATGTATGTGTGTGTGTATGTATGTATGTATGGATACAATTTTTCGTCCACGTTTTCGGGCGCACGGATCAACCGATTTGAATGATTCAAAAAACACTCGATTCCTATTGATAGGGAGATGTGCTGATTAGTTTTTGGCAAAGGCAGATCCAGCCGTTACGGAGATACGGAGCAAAGAGTGCAGAAAATAGAAATCGAGTTTTTGAGTGAACGGAGCATCCGATTTCAATGATCTAAAAACATTCAATTAGTAATGATTGGGAGAAGTAACTATTAGTTTTTGGCAATGGCAGGCCCAGCCATTTCGAAGATACAGAGCTAAATGTGCAAAAAATAGCAGTTTTTGAGAGAACTAAGCGTCCAATTTAAATGATTCAAAGAACTTTCAGCTTGTTTTAATAAAATAATTGATTTTGGAAAAAAAATTTTTTTTTTTTTAGTTTTTTTTGTACATCGAAAATAATTCAGATTTTATTTTTAATTCTGACTAAAGTTTTAATATACTTTAAACAAATAATTTTAACTGTGCAATTCAGTTTATATAATATTAGACAATGTTACAATATTTATAATAATCTATTTGAAAACATTCAGTATTCCTCGAACATTTCGTTACGGTACGGGAAGTTCCAGAAATTTGCCTTAAGGCACGATGCCATACACCCCACCCCCAGAAAAATTGTCAGTATGAATTCAGGGAAATATTTGTCTAAACTAATTGTAAGATATTATAACGCACTTATATTCATATTTCTGTAATAGGTGTGATACTGGATATGGTGAGGAATATACTATTATATTATGTATATTATTGATATGAATGTCAATTTTGTGATATTGGAGTCAATTTTGCAAACAACGCTTTCAATATCAGAGTTAGGAGCTACACAAATCAGGTGAGCTGTAGTAGATATGTTTATTCATTTACAATATATAACACTTATATTTTACCAACAGATTCATTCTAATAATGTAAATGAAGTTTTAAATTATTTGCATTTAGATCAGCATCCAAAAACAGTTCACTCGTTTAATTCAAAATAGGAAGCAAACTTTAGAACTGTTTGCCTGCGTGGTAAGAGTCCGATACCCAATTCGGCCGGCTTGTTGTGAAACATTAGTGATTTTAGATTTTCACTTGTGATTATTGATTTAAAATATGATATCAAACGGAAAAAAATATTATTAATTAGAGAATGGTCAACACGTTGGGCTGAATTCTAATAAACAATAGGTTTGATTGATACTCAAAAAAGGTGTACAAGGTCATTTTGGACGAGTTTCAAATAATTTAAATGTGAGTTTAGCACGTGTTTATATGATTGTCTATAGATTAATTTCTATTCATATGTGCATTTTATGACACTGCACAACGACTTCATACGAGTAAATAGGTATTCTTGCACGCGTACTTTCCTCGATTAATTGCTAGTAATTCATTTCCTATTGCTAAAGTTATTTATTCTTTTATATCTCATAAATGCTTACTCTCTCAATATCGTTAAATAAGGCATCAAGATATATTTTTATATAGACAATAAAATATGCAACATTAAAGTTTGCTTTTGTTTTAATCTAGAATTAATTAGTAGGTAGCTGACAACTGTTTTACTCTTCGACTTAAAAATAAGATCTAATAATACAAGTTTATAAATTATAGTCAAACAAATATTATTGGAGCTATTTCGCACAACATTTATTATCTTAAATTTTTATCACACTAAATGTTGTGGTTGTTTTATAATGTTGCAATAATGAATGTTACTAATTCTTTATTACTAAAAAAAGTCAACATAATTTGCATTCTAGAAAAATGCAAATTCAACGAGCCTCTATATATATTCTATATATATATATATATATATATATATATATATATATATCTAGCAGTAAGTGTAACGAGTAAATAACATATTACTATTATTTTTTTTCCCTAAAATTTGATGTCAAAAACTAATGTTTGTCAAATCTCGATGATATGCTTCTTCGCGAGGTATCTCTATATTTGCTCGATCCAATAACGGTACTTCGTAGTTTTGGAATTTATGTTGGTTTACTGTTCGATTCCATTTTTGTTGATTATATATTGGTTAAAATGTAAGACAATTTGATGATTCCACAAACGCACATTAGTGTCTCGATTATATATTAAGTGAGCAATTATTTAATTTTCTGTACCTAAAATAAACCGTAAAAATTCAATCTGACATGCCAACCAAGAATGTATTCAGATATATAATTATATTATATTATATATTATATATATATATATAATTAAAATCAATTAAACAAATAATATTTCAATTCTTGTGCATAATGTGCACTCTGATGTACTCTCTGATGTTCACTTACTGTTGGTATTACCCCGAGTTTAGAAGTAAAAATGTATTCCATTTAAAAAGGTCAAAATTACAGAATCAATAAGTTTTTCTAAATACTTGCTGCAGATACAAATAGAGCAAATAAAAAGCAATAGATATTTGGATGACCTCACGTGAACTGTTGTGGCTTTATATTCCGCAATGAAATGAATGTGTAGCATGATTAAGTAGATACTTGAAATAAAGTGAAGATGAAAGTATAATATCGTACACCGCAATTATGTTTGCACGAAATAATCATATGCAAATAATATTCATGTAATCAAAACTCACGGCCAGACCAAAGTTGTAGTAATCGCAATGATGATTGCAAGCACTGTACAAAAAACAAATAAAATTTGAAAGATTGGCTTCATTTTTTACACTGTTTTAGTTACTTTTATACTTAAAAAGCAACTATATTCGACGTCTATTCGCAGAAGAATAGATATCTTATTTTTCATATTCAAAGTATCTTAGTTTTGTAACGTATAACCTAGCTGCTGAATGGGTGTGTAGAACAACCAACCATTGCATAAATTAACTTCAATTGACTTTCTGTGTATTAAGGGATTTGACACTGGTATAAAAGTTATGCGAGAAAGAATTATGAATCTGAAAATGTAGCCTATTTCACATAATAGTAATTATGTGATTTGAATTGTAATTATTTAGTTCTTCTGTTTTTCAGTAAAATGATTTGCAATGGCTACATTTAGGCCACATACACTGTACTCACAAAGTGATTAGAATAGTTTGCCGATAATGTTTAGGCGCTTAGAACGCCTAGGGATCCTTAGCTTATTAGGAGCATTGATATTATGTCGCTAGTTACTAAATACTAAAGCAAAGATATTTATTTGAGAGAATGTGGTCAAGTACAGAGAGCGGTCAAATACAAGGAGGTCTGATATGACGGCGCGAGCAGCAAAGACTTTGACGCGCCCGCGCGTTAAAACTATTGAGTTTACGAAAAAGATTATTAAATTAATTATAGGAAATTCTCTGTAGTTTAATTCGTATATATTTACTTTTCTCGTACAATGAGCCGGAAAGAGAAGATATTGTTAAAAAATTTTGATCTATACAAAAAAAGCTCATTAAACTTTTGTGAATATTCCTAACCAAAAGTTAAAATAATAATGCTAATTTCTTCGAATCGAAGAAAGCATGTATATGAGATCGATATTCTTCAAACTATTTTCTGCTCATTTTCAATATATAACAAAAAAAAATTTTTCAAATCAAAATAAGTGTAAGTCAAAA